TATCCAAACTTAAAATACCATATCAATAATTCTGAATATCTGACCAACAGAGCAATCCTTGCACCAACTATTGAAGTGGTTGATCAAATAAATGATCATGTTTGTTCAATGCTTGATGGTGAATATGTAGAGTACTTCAGCTCAGATTCAATAACTGCTGCTGATCAAGACGTAGAGTTCCAAGAATTATACACTACTGAATTCTTAAACACCATCAACTGTTCTGGTCTTCCTCCTCATAGATTAGCATTGAAAGTAGGATGTCCTGTCATGCTCATCAGGAACATTGATCAAGCATCTGGTCTTTGTAATGGGACAAGACTTCAAACTACTTTCCTTGGTAAACATTTCATCAAAGCTATAGCATTGAATGGCACAAGTGTTGGTCAAGAAGTCCTCATCCATCGTATGGATATGAATCCATCTGAAACTAAGCTTCCATTCACAATGGTAAGGAGGCAATTCCCCCTCATTATTTCATTTGCAATGACCATAAATAAGAGTCAAGGACAATCAATGACTAATGTTGGTTTATATCTTCCAAGGCCAGTATTCTCACATGGGCAGCTGTATGTAGCAATGTCAAGGGTCAGAAGAATTGATGGTCTAAAGGTGTTGATCGTTGATTCGAATAATAAATCAACCAACATTACTACCAATGTTGTATACAGAGAGATATTTCAGAATGTTCATTGTCATTAGCAGACTAGCTGTTGTTACAGAACTTGAGTCCTATGTTCTTTTTATGCCACATGTTCTGTGATTAACATTAGTCATTATTTTGATGTATCTTTTTTGTTATGTTTAATAGCTCGTAGCTCAATAACACCATGTCATTGTATTATTAGCATCCAGTTTTTTAAAATCAAAATATTATCAAATGACGATGGGAAATAAAAATTATGAAACATATTTTCTATCAGAATTTTTAGAATAACTAATATCAACTCCACCTGAAATAAAAAAATATGAAGAAGGTTATGAACTCAACTCCATCCTAACCTTCCTCATGTACAACTTGAACACGACTTCTTTAGCATTAAAAACAATATAACTCTGTCACCAAGTACGCAATATTACAAAACATAAATTCATATTTTTGTTAGAATGGCAACTTCGTTGGAATTATGGCAAAATGAAAGAATGGGCTAGGTGATCTTTATTAAAAAATTTGTTTACAAAACATATACACAACAGAGAATAATATAAAATAGATATTGCTAACACATTTCTCTTTCGAAAAAAGTCTATCACAATTGCTTTGTTTTTACTAGAACGCAGTTTTAAAAATACTTACTTCCCTTAATTACTAATGTGTTCAACGCAATTACTTACTCTTTACAATTTAAAATATTCTCATCCTCTATTGAATCAGATTACTTTGTTAGTTTACAATACACTTTAGACAAATCGCGCATCGCGCGGGGGTATAAACTAGTTGATATCTTATATTTAGAACCAAATCTAATCTCAAAACTAGCTCCTAGATTAGATACCAGGAGAAATACCTAGCAACATCACTTAAACCTCTAATATTAACTGAAGAAAGTTATAGCCAATGATATTGTAGTCTAGTGACATGAACTCTCACTTATAATTAAGTGAGACGAGATAGATTCAGGCCGCTGGTGTTTACCTTCTAATTCAAAAAACTAAAGAAAAAGCTACCTGGCAAGATCACCCCAGTATTGGTTTGATCGTCCTTCAGTGTCAAAGTCAATGCCATCAAGAACAGCAGGACCGAGTGGGCGAGACGAAGACTGTCCTCCCAAGAAGTTATTCCAAAGGTAAGTCGCAACCTCTGTTGCATTAATGGCTTCGCTTCCAGGTCCTGCTCTTAAAGACAACAATACCTTTATGCCTTTGGCTTGGCATGATTCGATATCAGAAAACTCAAACCAGAACATCCATTATTGTTGCTGGGAACACAATGACCAGCCAGGTTTATTTCTGGAGTTTGGTCTCCCCCATAAGTTGGAAGAAATGCTATCATCATGAACTCATAGTTTCCAGTTTCACATGCCTCAGCCAGCGTGCCTTCGTTCCCATTTTGGCCCCAGTAAGTTGCGATATTGCCAGCTTCGGAAGAAGAAGCCATTGTTGACATGATGATGATGAAGAACAAGGCCAATAAGGATTGGCTTGATGATGAAGAGATGGACGCCATTTTTGGAAGTTTTGATCTCACTGTCTTTTAAAGTTTTGTGATGTTTATGTGGGCGTAGAGATTTGGGGTTTTATAAGGGTGAGATGTGTGTGTTTGATGCGTGGGGTTTTATTTGGGTGATTTGGCCAATTAATTATGAGAGCGTCGTCGTGAACTCTTTGTTTGAACTTTGAAACTTAAGTTGCAGTCTTTGATAATGGCGTAGGAGATATAATTGACATGTCTCTTGTTTGTTTTCTTTTTGAACACTACTTTGGTGTTCCGTTCCTCTTTTTTTTTTGTTACTATATATGCATATATATATATATTTCTTACCTTTTTATTCTTTATTTTTTGGGTGAAGCCACCCAACACTCTAAGCTATTTTCAGACCTGCATCCAGCACCCTAAATTATTAAGTGTTTGTTTGGCAGATCGTTTAGAGGGGAGAACATGCATTCAAAAAGGGAAATCGTGTGTTGGTAGTTGGTGTGGTCTTCAACAATTGTTTGGGCAAACTTTTTCTCAAATTGACTTTTGGGAATAAAACTCATTCAAGGCAAAAGCTAATTAGAGTAGTTCAGGGCGATGGATGCTTCCAAAAATAATTCAAGGACTCACCTTTACCCTTTTTTTTTTTTTTTTGAGGGATCATTCATTTAACAAATTACTGGAGGAGGAGTTTATCAATATTTTACTGAAACATGGCGACAAAGAGTTCTATTGAATCCGTTTCGTTGGTGACTTGGGATTGGCCTTCGTTCGCTGTCTTAGTATCCGGTGCTCTTCCTTTGCTTTAAAACGGTGTCGTTTGCTGCATAACATGACAAGGGAAATAAAGGAGATTGTTAAAATTGTTAAGTTTTTATTCTTCAACCGGATTTCCAAACAAAACATTACTCAGCAATTTTCCATTCATGACTTTCCTGCAATCTCTTTTTTCTTTTTTTGGTCATTTATCATCAAACGACACTGTTTTAAAGCAAAGGAGCAGCAGCGGATGTTAAGACAGCGGAGTAAAGTCAATCCGGATTTGAAGTGTCCGGGTCAGCTAAAATAAAGCTTAGAAAAGGATCAATCAAAATATATTGCAATTACAAATTAATGAATTTCAGGAAGGTTTGATTTCTTGAGAAGTTTTACGTACTGTTTTAATTTTCCGTTTAAGTCTGATGGTGGATGGACTATGGCCATGGTTTTCCAGTTACAGGTGCAACATAGTACTCCCTCCAGTCCTGAATATAAGATCCATTTCGTAGTGCAATTTATACTACAAAATATATCTTATATTTAGGACCAGAGGAGTATATACATACACATTACCTCCTATAAGAGCTAGTTAAGAATTGAGTTTAGTTTTAAATATAAAATTTTAATATTTATTTTGTCTCTCAAATTTATAATATATTTTTTTAAAACATCCCTATTGATTATAAGAGACTCCTATCTACGAAGAGATATTTCTAATGTATGATCAAAGAGGGTAATTTGGAAAAGTCAATATACATTACAATTAATCAGTTTAACTAATTTTTTTAATCTCTCCAAATTAATTATTTAATTATTATATTAAGCACTGGAGGTAGCTTATATATATAAATATATTCACCATATGTTAAAGACGCATTTTTGTGTCCTTTTCTGACTGAATATAAGGTGGAAATAACCACAAAAAAAAAAAGTAATTTCAGCGTCTATCATAAAGCCCAAACGCTATAATAATCATATAATAAAATTGAAAACATTGACAAGGTTTTGGGACATTGGTGGCACCAAACGAGAAAGAAAGACATAAATTTTTTCAAAAATTAAGAGAAAACCTCTGTATATATCGTCAATAAGTACACGTATTATTATATATAGCAGAGTAAATTACATAAAACTCTCTTAAACTTTGAATCGTGTGCAAATAATCTTCTTAATCTTTAAAACTTAATAACCAATCTTCAAAAACTTTCCATTTGTATGGATAAACTCCAAACATCGATTATGAACTCTTTTAAATTATATTTTTATGCATATATAATCCCAAAAGCTTTGAGTTATATGCATGTATATAACTCTTTAAACTTTCATATATGCAAAGGTAAGTTATGAGCAAAATTATTCTAGTAAGAGAATTAGCATAAATGTAATAGGAAAATTTACAGTGAGATGTTAAGTAAGTTACTTATGCATATATAAATATATATATATATAGTTGAGGGAAATTATAAATGTATGTGTGCATTTGTATCCGTTCAAAATAAAAAAAGAAATCAATAGTTAGAATGTTGCCGAGCCTTTGACCAAAAAAGAAATGAGAAAATTATAGCGAGGTCTCAGAAAAAATAATTATTAAAAAATTTTAATAAGTTAAAATTAGTTGTCATTTCTTACCTTGTAGCTTATCATTACAAGTTACTCACTTGTTATGAGACTTTTTTGTGAATATGTTCTTTTTATAAGACCTTATTACAATTCTTCGGGAAAAAAAGACTGAGCTAAAAACATTACTAAAAAAGTGTTTAGGTGAAAATAAAATCATAATTTTAGAAGTAATTTCACAGAATTTGAAATAAATATGTGAAAAAAAATTTGGTATTTTTTTTTTTTTAAGTTTCAGAAGCTCCCAAATAAGTCAACCCTTGGAATATAACAGAAACAGCACCACATACCCTACCCATGACGTGAAGGCATGTTTTCAACGTCCTCGCATTACGTGCTTCCATGATTCTCACTTCCCAGTTCCCACTTTATAATAATCCCTTCCCCTCTCTCCCTCCCTCCCTCTCTCTCTCTCTCTATATATATATAACATCACTAAGTTCAAAAACAAGAATTTCTAAGACACAAGACACTATCAATACGCGGCATGGACAAGGAGAACAACAGTGGCCGCCGCGACCCACGGACAGTGTTGCGATCCCCATCACCGTCGCCACGGCTTTGCCGGAGCAAAAGTGGGAGCAATTTATCATCCTTGACGACTACTCCAGAAAATAGCTCCCGCAGGTTTGGATCAAGTCAGAGATTCGTCAGCAACACGAACCGCTCAAAATCCACATCAAAAACAAGAAGAACTTGCAACAATGAAGACAGCACAACGAATCCCTCTTCTTCAAGCGCTTCGGCTCGGAAGTCCCAAGAGATCATCTCTAACAGAAATAACAGATCAGATGGAGTTGGATCTTCAAAGAGGATGACCGCGAAGTCTCCATCGGCATGGGCGTTATCGCCGGGGCGGTTTCTCGGATCTCCGGCGGCGTCATCGTCGTCTGAGACGCCGGGGAAAGTGAAGAGTAACAGCAATGGTGTGAGTAAGGTTTTGAGGTACTTCAGGCAAAAGAAAGTGTCATCGGTGCAAGAAGATGAGCATCACAGGTTTAGGATTTTGCATAACAGATTGTTGCAGTGGAGGTTTGTGAATGCAAGGGCCGAGTCTGCCATGGTTAATGTAAAGAAAGCTTCAGAGGTAAGTAATAAGTTTATTTAATTTTTATTGAGGGAAAAAAAGAGAGGCTAAATTGCACGACCTCCTTAATATAAGAGTTAAATAAAAAAAAATTAATTAAATTAGTTATTTATCACAAATTTGAGTTTATTTTTCTAAATTACTCTTTTTAATCATAATTACCTTTGGATAACAACCCTTTAACATATGTAATCAATAGAGATATTTAGAGAATAAATTACAAATTTCAAGGATAAAGTAGATTAAGATTTTATATTTTAAGACCAAATTCAATTTCTAACTAGTTTTTATATTAAACACTAGAGGGTAGTAGTTTTTTATTTCAACTATCATTTTCCTTATGCACCCTCGGGTTTTAGATATAGAAATTAGCTCACTTGCATATTAATGAAACTAGTTAAGTTAATTACTTATAAAAAATGATTTTTCTAACTAATATACGTTTCTTATTGGAATTACACATGATATTTTATAAAGATAAAGTGAATTGACTTCTTAATTTAAAACTAAACTAAACCTTTAATTTGAATATTTAAGACCAATGGGAGTATAAGTTAAAAGGCATATAATAATTGTATAGAGAAGTGTATAGTAATTATAATTTTTTAACTTGTTAGTTTGTTTTAAAAATAATATATATTAATACGTATAATCAGCCCATTATATAGTCACACTCAACCTTTTGAACTGACTTTAGCCGAAGTGGTCCCATTAGAAGTAGCATCCTTGTAATTTTTCTTATTTACTTCTGCTGAATTATAATTTAAAATAATTATACCATCAGCTCATAGGTTGGTTGAATTTAAAATTTATCAACATGCACTGCGGAGAGATTTATTTTATCTTCAACTCATCTAGAGTTTGATTTCTTTATTCATTGCAATATTAGTATATATATTGCCAATAGAGAAAAAAATAAAAAAGAAAAAGAGCTTGTACAGAAAGTCAGAGATAAAAGACTAAATAAATCTCATAAACATAATCTACGATGTACATAATATAAAACTCGGAAGATTCTTTGCATCAAAAAAAATATTGATGTTAATATATGCAAAATGCATTTTGGAATCTTGTATTAAAAAAATGCTTTTTGGAATCGAGCCAAACATATAGATAGTATTTGGTATGAAGCATTAAAAATAAGAGTTTGAGATTAAAATTGGGATTGAGAAAATAATATTTAGCATGAGAGATTGCTTATTACACGGGATTAGACAAACCTACGAAAGCAGGATTGGAGAATACCACATGTGGTATTCTCCAATCCCACATACATGGGTTTGTCTAACCCGTGTAACAAGCAATTTTTCATATTAAAAACTTTTTTAATGATTTTCTTTAATTGCAATCTTAACCCCTCTCTTTCATTTTCAATGCTTCGTACTAAACGGAACCATAATATTTTCTTCAATATAATACGAGGTCGACTTGTTTGAATAGTTTATCTTATTTATCAATCATCTCGATAATTAAAATTAAATATTTATTATAAATTATGCAATATTTTGGTTACAGAGGTACTGAGGGTGAAACTTAATTAGTTAAACTAGAATAATTTAAATAATAATTTACATATTGTCCATATTCATAAAACACTTTGATGACAACTTAGATACAGGTGCGCCCTCTTATTCAAATTCAATCCAGGCGAATTAATCAAACCAATAAATCAGTGAACCAATCTTCTAGCCGGTCCGGTCAATAGTCATGGACGCGTTGTTTGGATGGGATTTTATATGTTTTTGTTTTGAGTTTTAAAAAATAGGAGTCAGTTATATTTGTGTTTTGGTAACCATATTTTGTTGGATTATATGATGCTTATATGCAAATATTCTATTTACTTGTGGACTAGTGCATTTTTTTATTTAAATATCACTCATTTTAGAGTTATATATATTGTTATATATTTCAATTACATTATACTATTTTAGTCACAATTGAGTTGATCCCAGTTCAATCATGATAAGACCATTAAATCACTATCTCGACTAGTTTTAATGACTAGTCTAATTTTCAATACCTTGATGGTACAAAATTCTCCAATTTATATATTGTAGTAATTAATATTAATATTAATAATCAATTTAAAATTTATGAAATATTGATGCTTGTTATAAATTTTATATCGACATATTGAATTTTTCTTTTTCTTTTTTGATAAATTGACATATTGATTAATTATGAAGGAGGTTTCTTATATTATATATACATTGTGATAATTTCAGATGAATCTGTTCAATGTTTGCCTGAGGATCTTGATGCTAAGAAAGAGAATCTTAGAGAAGAAAAAGGAAAGGCAAAAGGTGAAGCATATCATGAAAATAAATCAACTCGTGAATCCACAAGTGTTTCTTCTGAATGAATGGGAAAAATTATTAGACAGAAAATATGAAGAACACATCAATAGATTGATCAGAAAGCTATCAGCTTTGTCCATTTGTTTGCCTTTCCTTGATATTAAGGTAAGCTCCCTCGCTTTTGCATCCATTCATTTGCCTTTTCTTGCATCATATAATATAAATTTCTCTTGAAAGTTTTCATTTAAAATTATTAGGCATCTGAATTTTTTTAACATAAATTTGCCCTGAAAATTTAAAAATATAATAATGTTGTTTTCTACTGTTAAAAATATTAACAGTCAATATCATTATTTTAATAGCTAATGCTATTTTTTAATGATGGGGGCAATATTACTACGATATTAAACTTATAGGACAAATTTGCACTAAAAAAAAGTTTCAGCACTTTTGAGTAAAAATTTTTGGGGTAAATTTGCACATTAACCCCTATATACATTGATGTCTTTTTTTTATTAAAAAAAAAGCATGCAAAAGTTTTAAAATTGATTTGAAGTGCATCAACTATGAAGTTTTAAGAAAATTCCCCTTTCCAATTCTCTGTTTCTGCATTGGGCCTGGTTTTATTTTTCAGGTCCAATTGTCTGCACTGTTAAGCATTTAAGAACCCAAAGATTACATTAATTTAATATTAATGAGATCAAAAACTAGAGAATACCAAAATAAGGACTAAAGATATTTTCAATGGCTTGACGAACTATTCCTTTATTTGCGACATTGTAAATTTGTAATCACTAATTTTCAAGTGAGATTTGTTTGTTTATGAAGGAAAAGAAAGTATTTAACTTGTTAAAGATAACATTACCTCTCATGGTTTGGTACTTCAATTTTCTTCTTATTAGCAATTTTGAGACTACTAATTTAAGATGAGATTCATCTATTTTTTTAAAAGATAATTTTCATAACTTCTTATAGTTTAATATTGATCTATCTAATAAGAAAAAGGAGACAATTCAAATCGTCAAATACATATATTTTTGTATAATTTAGAATATTTTTTAGTCATGTTGGACTTGAAACTAATTTCTATCAAGCTGAGAGCGTAAAAGTTAAAACTCTCCCAACAAGTATGCTTCTCGGAATTTGAATTTGTGTAATACTTTTATTTCCTAATTCACAATTTTTTTCTTAAACGTGATTAATTTAATCTTTTAATCTTTAAATGCTATTCTTCCTTTAAAAATGATGTTTACTGTCTGCTAAAAAAACACAAGACAAAAAGTCATGTTCTAATTCTAATGTTTTGTTTAATTGTTAATAAAAAATTATATAATTTGTATTTCTAAAAAAACAATAGTATACAATTATTCTGCATCTTTAAAATTATTTTCGATGTTCATCTTTAGTAATTCACATTATCCCTTGTGCATTCTTTTTCAGGCTGACGTGGCCTCTCTGCATGAAGCCATGAAAACAGCCTTAGAAATAATGGAGACCATTGATCCACTCATAAGAAAATATCAATCTCAGGTTTTCCCCCTTTAATATTTAATTTTTTTATTACACCTTTTAATATTTATTTTGATGTTTAAGTATCCTTAATAGCTTAATCAATGCTCAATTTTGTCCAAAAAAAGAAAAGAAAAGAATCAATACTCAATTATTTATAGGATAATATTTTTAAAATTACATATACTCATTATTTGGTTTTTGAATTTTAGAAATGGGTGACCGAATTATTGGGAAAAAATGTCTGAACTGGTAAATTTTGAAGTATTGAAAAATACATTATTTGGAGGATTATCGAATAAGGATAGCCTGATGTATTACCCTTAAAGTCTTTGACAAGTAACATGGTCATACTATTTTTTTTTAAAAAAATTTATATAATCAGTAGTTTTTAAATTAACATAAATTTTTAAGTTTCTTTCTTTTTGTCTGGCAAAAAAGTAGTGTTTTTTTAAATTTATATAATTAATAGTTTTTAAATTAACAAACAATGTTGATGGACTTTAGTTGAAGAATTAGTTTTTCACAGTATGACAAACTAAAATTTAAATCTTTATTGAGAGAGGTATTTATTTTTGGTACCAGACAGTATTTTGAACAAATGTGTTTAAGAAAAAATAGTTTCTAAATTAACAGAATTTTTCAAGTTTTTTATATTTATTATAAAAAGGAAATAAATTAATGGGATATTAAGATTTAAGTTATTCTCGCAGTCCGACCCAAAAAGTTTGAGAAAATAAAATTAATTATCAATATTTTTTTTAATTATAATATAATGATTAGAAAGATAATGTGATTAATAATATTATTAGATAAGAGTGCGATTAATTAATAATAATATTGTGTGGCAGGTTGATGGAATTCTTTATCAAGTAACAGAACTCAGCACCATATCGAAACAAGAAGAGGAGCACTTTCAGGAACTCTTGAGAATTATGCCCATCATTTCTACTTCAATGGTAAGCAATGGGAAAAACATTAAAATTTGATTAAATATACCAGTTCTAATTCCTAATATAAGAGTCAATTGACACATTTAAGTAGATTAAAAAAGTTTATTAAGTTAACTTTTTTTTAAAATATCTTTACTAATCATGTGTATTAATTAGAACTACCACTAGATGGAATTTTTAATATAAGTAACTACTATAAAGCCTACTTTAAAAAAATAGATAAATATGATAGGCAAAATAAATTAGGATTTTATATTTCAAACCAAATTGAATATCAAACTAGCTCTTATATTAAGAATTGGATGTAGTACTTTAATTAATTAGTATGCTTTTCTATACAAATTTTTAATTACTATAGAAAAAATTCTTATTTTTGTTATGAAAGACTAAATTACTCTATAATTGCAAGTAACGTTCTTGGGCTTTCAATTTTGTTTTTCTAACTCTAAGTAGCATCACTGTAATGATTTTGACATGTTAAAATCTGTTAAAATAATATACTTGTCATTTTAAAATTCAATCAGGTATATTTTTGTTATTTTCCCTGTAAAAAAAGAAATGAGAAACAAAAATATATTGATTTTCAATAAAATAAATAAGTCTTGTAATGATTTACGTTAAACCCTGTCAAAATCCCTTAATTTTGAAGCAAATATGAAAGAAAGATACAAATGTTATCTCCTCCTCCTTTTTTTTTTTTTTGGTTAGGAAAAGGAGAAAAGCGTGATGGTGCATCTTATCCAAACAAATATGGAGCTGAAACGTATCTGATGAATCATTTTTCTTTTTCTGGCCCAGAAACTTTTTTTTAAAAGTAGTTCTACTTTTCTTTTTGCGGTGATGTTAAATTGGTTGATGTGATTAGTGAATTAGTGAACTGTTTAAATTAAGTTTTAATAATATTTTCAAAGTAAATTTTAACTGTTTATTTTTTTTTTAATACCCACTTCTCACTAAGGTGAGGTTTAGAAGCCTCGTCCACCAATGAGACTGTGTTTGGGTGACACCCCAAACCACCCAAACTATGGTGGGGAATAAATCACCCAAACACCCACCCAAAAACTAAAAACATGGTTTTGACTCCAAAACCATGGATTTGGAAAAAAGCAAAATTTTTTTGCTTTTAGAGAAAAAAGGGAGAGTGTGAGAGCCTATAGGATATGTATCTTGTTATTTTTTTTATAAACATATTTTTTATAAACATATTTAATCTTATATTTTATAAATATATATACATATTAATTATTTATTAATTATATTATCTTATGTATTATTAATTATGTTAATAAAAAATATATTATTAACAATTTTATTCCTTCAAATTAAAATATATCATAAATTTATTTTTTCTGTAATTATTATATTAACTTATGTCTTTTTTTTTTAGTAATTTGTATATATAAAAAGTGCTTCTGATAACAATTATCCAAACACTCTCACTTCTCAAAATCACTTTTTCATAAAATCTATTCTTTCCAGAATCTATTCTCCAGAATCACTTTTTCAAACCGTGTGGCCCTCAAGTAGGCGCTCACATATGTTTCTTTTTCCCTCTTTTGCCAAACATTAATTGGTGAATTGTACTAGTGATTAATTATTGGTCACTCTTACAATGTTTCTTATATCCAAAGAAAATTTATGTCAGTTGAACAAAAAGATTTATGCAATATTGAATTAAATAAATATAGATAGTCAAAAAATATTAAATAAATATAATTTATTTATTTATCATTTATTAATAGCAATTTCTTAAATAATTTATTATCAATATAAAATTAAATAAGAACTGTCCCAGTAAAAATAGTTAAATAGACAAGTGAAAGCAAATATAAAATAGGGAAAATTAATCCATGGGTTGGTGTTTTGGACCACCGAATATCTTTTTCGTTTTTTTTTTTTCCACTCAGTGTTGGTTTCTTGGGTAAACAATATCTATTTTTTCCAAATTGCGCCCAGTGATGCTTTTGATGCTGATAGTGGTCTTGTTCGTCCTAAACGGGAGGACTAATAATCCTACCTCCTCTTTTGAATATAAAGAGTCAATTAGTAGATTTGTTTTGATCCCAAGTATAAAATTCAATATATTCTATCTCAAATTTATTTTTAAAAATTTTGCCTATCAATTGCACATTTAATGGAGTGGTTTTGTTTGAAAATTGTAGAAGCAGAGGATCTTACAAAAATCATTGAACAGTGGGAAATTATAGCGAAGTAAAATAAGAAAAAGGAAACCTATTTTTCAGATAGCTACTTTCTTTCAATTTTTAATTCGGTGTCCATAACTTTTTCCATTTTATTAAATCCTTTAAGCATTCCAAGTTAGCACCATTAGTGTCTATTGTTTAGGAAATGCATTGAAGGGCCAACTGAAGGATAGATGCAGTTAAAATAGAAAAGGAAGAGGGGAAAAGGAGGATGTGCACATGATGAAGATGGCGCCATTGATCATGTGCTAGGGTCTATTCCATTGAGTAAGGAGTTTGATCACTCTAAAATACCTCTCCAATATTTAATATATGACCTAATTGGGAATTTGATGTTAGTCTAATATTTAAGACTTATTTCACATATTTATCAATTTTTTTAAAATTAACCCTATTATTATTTTCCCAACAATAATTAAGTAGGAGGGAGAGGGAATTATTATGTTTTACATTAAGGATCGGAGAAGTAATAAGTATTTTTGTTCCATCTCACAAGAAGAAAGAGGCATTTTGTGCTCTATTCTTTGGTGTTTTCATGCTATGTGTGTTTTCTTTTTCTACGTGCGGGTGTTGTAGTTCTGAGTTCTTTTTTCTCTGTTCTAACTCGTTATTTGCTCTTATATTTTTTTGCTTGTAATTTTTTTAATTTTAGATACACTTAGGTTTAAATATGGGACGACATAAAGCTTTACAAACGGGGAGTGAGAATGAGAGTTTACATGATGTTTTGTCTATTGAGGAATTGAGGTAGTAGTTTTTTTAATGTATGGAAAAATCAGATTGAGTGTTTGGAGATACTTTTTGAATTTGGCCAAGTTGAAGATAACATGACTTTTTTTGGTAAAAACTAAGCCATGATTTTATAATGATTTTACGGCATACGAAATAAATATGTGAGAAGAGTTATGACCGAAAAATCATTCTTGTCTCATTTTAATTTTAATTTTTAAAAAAGTTTATACTTGTTATGGTCATACTCCTTTGCAGTTAAGGTCATATGCAATTGTGTAAACATCAACCGAAGTCTTAAAGTAATATATACTCACTCTAACCAGTCTAAAACATTAGAACTTGATGAAAAATTCCGCCGAAAGTTAAAAAAGAAAAAAGGAAAAAAAAAAAAAAAGAAATCTCTTCTTCCTATACCCATCCCTCACAATATTAAAAATGTTAAAAAAAAAATCCATTTTCAATATCATATTAAATTTCCATCTTTGCCTTTTGAGGCAAGACAATTTCATCATCCTCCCCACTGCCAATATCTTTATCACCACAATGTCCTAACACAATATTATCAAACATTTTCCTCTTTGGCTTGGCTTCTTGAAGCATCATCACAACATCTCTCATCGAAGGCCGATCTGCCGGATTCCGACTAGTACAAAGCAACGCGATTCTAAGTATCTGCTTCATCTCATCTCTTACCGGAGCACACCCAGCACCAACATTCTTGTCTAATATGTAATCAACCCCATTTTTAGTCTTGATCTTAGAGTTAACCCAGTCCACAATACTATTACCATCGCCAAACTCAGCATCGACAGATCTTCTCCCACACAAAATCTCCATTAACATCACTCCATAGCTATAAATATCACTCTTCTCATCAACTTGTAGGGTGTATGCGTATTCTGCAGAAGAAGTTAAACAAACAAAATGGCATTAGTAAATTAGAATAGAATGGGATACAAGTTGGCATTTACCACAATGGACTAAGTTAGGAGAAAGTCAACATCCTCATGATTCCAAAGTGGATGTGTGAATTGACAAGGCTATTGTTGGTGGGTCCCTTTGAATTTGTGAAGAACTTGGGCAAAAGCTATAGGTTTGTGAAAGTGAAAAGTGAAAGGAAAAAGAAAGGCTATATATATATATATATATATGCGTTCATGCGCAATAATACAACTATTCATGCACAAACAAAAGGAGCTTATGAGAAAAAAGTCACTGTGGCTAGAGATAGAGCTACACCAACCACAAACCACAGCACCTTAAAAATGGCAGTCACGCCTAGAATTTTTAAATCTGTTCTTATGCTGAACGTGTCCAGTGTTCACATTGTGCTCTATACCCAGCTAGCTCGGTCACCATCAAAACATGCTTTTGTGTGCATGTGAAAGTGAGTGAGTAGTAAGTTATCTGATATTGCCTGGTCAGTATCATAGGACATATCTAGCCACTTTATAAGAACTAATGAAAAATGGTTAGGTGATTACATTTGTTTGAAAATAAAAAGAAATTATGAATTTACCCATATTTAAAACCATGAATTACATCTTGTGAAACAACAACAAAAATAAAATAAAATTACGTCAAACTTATATAGAGGTCATCTTAAGAAAAATATAATTAATGCTCTACTTAATGACTAATAATAAAGACTATACATTTTTTAGAAAGTGCTTATTATAATAGGGAAAAAGTAATATCTCCCATATTTTTGTGTTTTTGTCTTCATATGACAAAATGAACCACACACTTACTGTCTACAGTGTCAAAAGGCCAGTTGCAAAGAACACAATTAAAAATAATAACAAAAAGGGTAGCTGAAACCAATTCTTTTTTATTTTAAATTTAAATATTTCACGTGGTAAAGATAGGCAAATGCCAAAACTAGAACTTGCTATATTAATGCCTCATATAATGATGATGATAAGTATGTATCTATAATTCTTGGGTCATTTCCTCGAAAACCTAGCTATTTCTTTTGTTCCTTTTCCCCCTAAATTCTGTAATACAAGTCCTTTTGCTTTCAAATCCACTTTTCTCCCAATTCAAAAAATTTTATTTTGTGCCGTCAAGTTTGAAGTTATAAATGAAATAATACAAACC